AAAACGCACAACCTCGGGTCAGAATGAGCACAAGAAAACGCACAACCTCGGGTCAGAAGGAGCACAAGACACAACCGCGGGCCAGAATGAGCACAAGAAAACGCACAACCGCGGGCCTGAATGAGCACAAGAAAACGCACAACCGCGGGCCAGAATGAGCACAACAAAACGCACAACCGCGGGCCAGAATGAGCACAAGAAGACGTACAACCTCGGGTCAGAATGAACGCAAGAAAACGCACAACCTCCAGTAGTTGTTTCCTTTTCCTTGTTCTTTGCTTTCCTTTTCCCCTTCCCATCCCGTCCCTTGCCTTTCCTTTCCTTCCCTTCCGTGTCCTTTTCCTTTTCTGGGAATGGCCCACCTGGGATTAAGCTTTCAAAGGAACCACCCTTCCCTCTCCTTCGCCCTCCCCTCCCGCCCCTGTGCTCTCCCAAGCCTCGTGCGAATAGGACTTTAAAGGCAAGACCGCCCAATAGAAGGCGCCCCACCAACCCACCGGCTAGGCAGGCCCGCCAATAGCATTCCAAAGGCAACCTTCCAGCCAAGGCCCCCCAAAACTAAAGCGATGTCTACAGTTATAGACCAGACCGAAGGTGGAGGTGAAAAATATCCATTGGGCGTTTGCCAAGTGGTTGTAGTTACTGTAGTGGTAGGGCAGACTCAAAGAGGTGGAGAGGTAAAGTGCCGGCGAATTAATTTTCAGGATGTCCTCCTTTGTACTTCCTAAATCAAGTCCTGAGGCCCATTTTGGAAAAGAAGAGCGCTGTCAAGTGCTGCCAAATATTCTGAAATTATATAATTCTTGCGTAGCATGAATTTACAATGTTAAAGATCCGTTTGCACTTCTCCAGTCCCAATATGTTCGGCTCAAGCTGCATGTTGCAGTCTTTCCCTACCGAACTCCGCTGATATCTTAGTGTGGAGACTCTATGGCTTTGATGTCCTTTCTTGTCGTCTCTCTACTGGCTACGTTTCAAGCTGCGCCAGCCCCTGAAGCATGTGCAATTGAGGAACCGTTGTTCTTGCACATGGGCATTCAGGTGGGTGATGCGCAGTCGCAGAAGTTGGGGGCTCTTCTTCTTGAGGTTCGGAAGGAGTGTTTCAGAGCCACCAGTTCTTGCCTGCCAGTTCTCGACAAGCTGCGTTTGGCAGTGTGGCCGCACGTGCAAGCCGAGATCAATGGTTCATTCAGTACATGGATGCCTGGTTGGAATTCGGAGCCTTTGCGTGGTATTCTTGCGCAAGCTGGCGGAGTGTCTCCCACGGGGACGAAGATGGCCTTTCGCCACATCTTCAAAGCTGCCGGTGATACCGCCTTCGCAAATCTTCAGCAAGTCACCACTGGTTTCAAGCAGCAAGACTACCTGGACTTATGCAATGCCTTTCATTCGACAGATCTGAAACGCAGAGCTTTTACGTTCGTTCGCGATCCAATTTCTCGCTTCATCTCAGGCTACAGTGAGATCGAATATAGGACTCGTACTGGCATTGACTGGCCCATTTTTGACTCTCTATCCAAGCTGCTCCGAGAATATCCGGTAGGCAGCTCTGTTCGAGCTGCGGCTTTCTTTGAGGAGTTCTTGCGCAGTGGAATCGATGTCAATGGTCATGTGAGGCCCCAGCTGGAGTTCTTGCAACCATTCTCAGGCTGCTCCTTGCCGATGGACTTCATTGGCAAGACTGAACGTGCTGAGGAACACTGGGCCAAGCTGTTTGCCATGCAGAACGAGACAGCCCCAAAGTTTGACAGCCTCCTCGCAGTCCACTCTCACGGTCAGCGAGATAAGCAGGCCATGAAGACGTTCCTGGCCAGCTCAGCCAAATACATACGGGCGCTTTGCTGGCTTTACTTGGGGGACTTTGCAGTTTTTGAATATGAGCTGCCCAACGAATGTCAAGAAGAACCCATGCAGAGTGCAGTCACAATGCTGCGCCGCGTGTCTCTTTCGGGTAATCCTCTCGCTTAAGCCTTCAGCAGGGAATGCGGAAAAGGAATGTGCTAGGTGCCGGTGGTGCTTGTGCAGCCACTGCAAAACAATGATTTGTGATGCCTTGGAAGTTTGAGGCTGAGGAGGGGCAGCATGATATGTGCAGCCTCATCATGTAGCCAAGAACGTGACATGTAGATTGAACCATTGTTTGAAAGGTTGCACATCTCAGAGCTCGGTTTGGTGCCTTTTTTTTGGGGGTCTCACAAGTGTAGTACATTGACATACAGTACGCCAGTGCTCACCCTGGTTTGAGCAGTCTTGTCAGCCGTGAAGCGCCGGCGAGGACAAAGCCGTGCAAACACAGCAGGGAATGCGGAAAAGGAACCTGCTAGGTGCCGTGCCGGTGGTGCTTAAAAGCTTGTGCAGCCACTGTAACACAAGGATTTGTGATATCTTGGGAGTTCGGAGCTTGAGGCTGCGGCTAAGGGGTGGCAGCATGGGCACGACTTGTAACAATGTGGGGCACGTGTCACCGTGTCTTTGCCAACAAATCACCGCACCTTGGCACTGTAGGGTGGCTGATGTCTTTAGGCTGCACCTTGCGTTGTATGTTCGGCTCAAGCGTTGTCTTTAGGCAGCCCTTCTCGACCGAACTCAGCGCCTTTCATAATGTGGAGACGTGTGGAGACTCTATGGCTTTGATGTCCTTTCTTGTCGTCTCTCTACTGGCTACGTTTCAAGCTGCGCCAGCCCCTGAAGCATGTGCAATTGAGGAACCGTTGTTCTTGCAGATGGGCATTCAGGTGGGTGATGCGCAGTCGCAGAAGTTGGGGGCTCTTCTTCTTGAGGTTCGGAAGGAGTGTTTCAGAGCCACCAGTTCTTGCCTGCCAGTTCTCGACAAGCTGCGTTTGGCAGTGTGGCCGCACGTGCAAGCTGAGATCAATGGCTCATTCAGTCCATGGATGCCTGGTTGGAATTCGGAGCCTTTATTTGATGCTGATTGCCAACCTGGGGGGGTTTCTCGCACGGGGACGAAGATGGCCTTTCGCCACATCTTCAAAGCTGCCGGCTTCACAACCATTGCAAATCTTCAACAAGTCACCACTGGCTTCGGGCCACAAGCCTACCTGGACTTATGCAATGCCTTTCATTCGACAGATCTGAAACACAGAGCTTTTACGTTCGTTCGCGATCCAATTTCTCGCTTCATCTCAGGCTACAGTGAGATTGACTATAGGACTCGTATTGTCAAAGACTGGCCCCTTCTTCACTCTCTAGCCAAGCTGCTCCGAGAATATCCGGTAGGCAGCTCTGTTCGAGCTGCGGCTTTCTTTGAGGAGTTCTTGCGCAGTGGAATCGATGTCAATGGTCATGTGAGGCCCCAGCTGGAGTTCTTGCAACCATTCTCAGGCTGCTCCTTGCCGATGGACTTCATTGGCAAGACTGAACGTGCTGAGGAGCACTGGGCCAAGCTGTTTGCCATGCAGAATGAGACAGCCCCAAAGTTTGACAGCCTCCTCGCAGTCCACTCTCACGGTCAGCGAGATAAGCAGGCCATGAAGACGTTCCTGGCCAGCTCAGCCAAATACATACGGGCGCTTTGCTGGCTTTACTTGGGGGACTTTGCAGTTTTTGAATATGAGCTGCCCAACGAATGTCAAGAAGAACCCATGCAGAGTGCAGTCGCAATGCTGCGCCACGTGTCTCTTTCGGGTAATCCTCTCGCTTAAGCCTTCAGCAGGGAATGCAGAAAAGGAATGTGCCAGGTGCCGGTGGTGCTTGTGCAGCCACTGTAAGACAATGATTTGTGATGCCTTGGAAGTTTGAGGCTGAGGAGTGGCAGCATGATATGTACAGCCTCATCATGTAGCCAAGAACATGACATGTAGATTGAACCATTGTTTGAAAGGTTGCACATCTCAGAGCTCGGTTTGGTGCCTTTTTTTGGGGGTCTCACAAGTGTAGTACATTGATATGCAGTACGCCAGTGCTCACCCTGGTTTGAGCAGTCTTGTCAGCCGTGAAGCGGCTCGAGCGGAGTACGGGGGCCCTCTCGCACCGAACGGTGCATGTGAGGATTGCCGAGGCTAGGCGAACGAGGGAAACTGAGACAGATGTTCTGGCAAGTTTCTGCTTTAAGGCACAGGCACGTTACTTGCAGGGACATGCAGACGCTCGCGGCGGCAGATGTTGAGCAGATCAAGAAGGCGGACATGTTGTGCAGGAATTCTTGGATGGCCACGAGTATCTCTCCCAGCACGGGCCCTGACACCCTATCCATTTGATTGGAGGAGTTTGCAGCTGTCGACCCAGGAGGCAATAGCCTGGTCGTCGGTCGCCATGTCTATTGGAGGTGCAGGATTTTGTACTCCTGACTCTATCACTATCAGCACTATCACTGGAGTTCATGCGGGTCTTTGGGACTTGTTTACCTTGTATAGCTGAATCGAGGCTGAGGCTGCAAGTTCTCCTGCAGAGCCACTGTTTGGCACGTGCTCTGCCCAGGCCATCGCACGGTGCGCCTCTCTGCTGTGCTTCAGGCCTTTCTTCGGTGGATGAAACGCAGCATTTGACCTTGGTTGCCGTGGCGGGACGACTGGCAGGTCCTGAAGGAAGCGGACGACTGGTCAACAGAGGAACTGGAGCAGCTGCCGGTAGCCAAGCAAGCAGGAATTGGCCTGTGCAGTTGTTCCGCAGTTGGGCATAATTTCAATCATCATTGGAGATTGGACTTTGTATTGCTTCCGTTGTGGCAGATGCATGCAACCACCTTTCGTCAATGCTTTACCGTGAGTTTTTATTGTTTTTGGTAGGAACCATGCTTTAGGCTTTACCGTGAGTTTTTATTGTTTTTGGTAGGAACCATATTTTTGTGGGGAGTTTTTCAAGCCATTTGTAGGATTTCTTTTGCCAGTCGTGTTTTGCCTTTGCTCCTGCTCCTGCTTTTGTTTTTGCTTGTCCTGCTTATGTTTTTGCTTCCGCTGTTGGTCGCCTTTTGATGGCTTTTGGTGGCAAGAACATGCATATATATATATATATATTGCTTTTTTTTTTCCTGGTTAGTACTGTAGTGTGAGCCCCGGAGGAGGAAGGGGCCATTCCAATGTAGCGTACCTTTTGTGAGCCACCCGCAGGTAGAACTTAGAGGAGGAAGGATTCCGATGTAGCATGCCTTTTGTGAAAGACCCGAGGTTACATTTAGAAGAGGAAGGAGCCATCCAACGTAGCAGACCTTTTGTGAGCCATCCGAGGGGAAAACATTTAGACGAGGATAGATGGGTTGATGTTTGCATTCATTCTGAAGGAATTGATGAAGTAGACACTTGCAGGTCTAAGTGACAGTCGAGGGTAAAAGACGTGGGCCACCCGACAATAAATCTACAGTATATAAAAGAGGAAGGACCCACTGGAATGTAGCACCCCTTTTGCGAGCCACCCGAGGGCAAAATGTAGGGCAGGAAGGACTCACTCCAATGAAGCAGACCTTTGTGAGCCACCCGACAGCAAAAATTAGAGCAGGAAGGGTGCCCGAGGGCAAGATTTAGAGGAGTGAGGAAGGCAACCCAAAGGCAAAGTTTAGAGGAGGAAGGGGGCCACTCCAATGGAGCAGACTCTTGTGAGCCACACCAGAATAGAATTTAGAGAAGGAAGGAGCCAGGCATTGCCAGCAAAGAACCATTCGACCTGGGTCCTTCTTACTCCACCCGAGCCACCCCTCTCTCTTCCTTTCGCTCCCGTGCTCACCAATTGCTGTATTTTTGGAAGCTCATACGCAAGGATGGTGTGTGTTGTAGGGATGGGGGTGCCTGATAGAGGGATTTCCGCATAAATGCTACATTTATATACGTGTGTTGTATATATATATACACACATATATATATATCTATGTATGCATACACACAACGAAGACTCAGACATCTGCACGTGTTAGCCGATTCTGAGGCAGCAATATGCGCACCGCACGCAAAGAAAGACATGGGTGAAAGGGGTGCATGCATTCCAAGATGTATAGATGGAGGTAACATGAGGTAACAGCATATCACATGTGAGGTGGTTTCCGGGCCTCATGTGCACATGCGAACACAAGACGGAAGCACAACTACCTCAGAACAGAGTGTTGTGGCATGGCCCGGAAGTATTGAGCGAACTTCCTTGCAGCAATCCCCTGTCATGCGGCGACGTGCGGCACCTGCAGCTTTGGCCGGGCCCTCAGCAGTTGGCTGCTCAAAACCGACTTACCGTTTTGGGCTGCAAACTTCGCTTCGCGTGGCTTGGGATAGGTGTTCAGTCCTTTTCCGAACCCAAGGACCTAGTGGCTGTCCCTGCGACTTCAAACATGATCATGGAAGTATGATAAACTTGAAATAGACTGTATCCAACCTGCACTTCCTCGAACAAGCCGATGTTCAGGGCTTGGCTGCTGCTCTCCTGTGCCGCAGCACGACCAGAAGCTTTTCCGCTGAACAGTTCTTGCTGGAGACAGCGCCAGTGCTGGATGGATCATCACATAAAGGCCAGGGTGGTCGAGTGGCTTGGAAGCACCGAGGGGCCCGTTCACGGAGGAAAAGGCGGCTCCCACGTTTTGCCTCACAAGTTCTATTGCATTGCTTAGAGACTTGCCATGTCTTTTTCCTGCGAATGCGCGGCATGGTGGAAAGTACAGGTTTCAGTCTCCAAGGTGGGCGTGCTTGGTGGATCTGAGCACTACACTGGTGCACCATACTATGCAGGAGTGTCACTGTGTTGGCGCCAGAGGAAGGAATAGAATTGAATAGTCAATAGTAGTCGTCAAAAAAGAGAACACGACAAGAAGGCAAACAAAATGAAAAACACGGGCCTGTCTAAAGAGGAGAAGAATTGACAATTGACATGTATTGTATGTGGAAACACACACATGTCAGACTGTCACACACACATGTACATGTCATATGTATATATAGATATATTTATATGTATATTCACAACCCGGCTCAAGATTTCGGCCCAAGAGATTCAGCACCGCCACTTGACTTTGGCACATCGTGACTTCCTGCACGACGCTCTTGAGACCGAAGTTGGCACCCACACCTACGACTACGCCTGCAAGGCCAGAGAACGATGAAGCGTTCCTATGTGGCCTGTAAAGGCTGCCAACAAAGTTGGATCTGGGAAGACAGATTGCTCTCCAAGCCCGACCTCACCTGTGTCCATTGTGGCACAGCATGGCAGCGGGCAGTCCCAGACCTGAGACGGAGGAAAAGGGTCACATGGGCACCTTGGAACTACAATAAGGATGGAGATGGAGCATCCTGGCCTTACAAGTCCTACAAAACAGCTTTGTTGGAACCCCCGCCAGGCCCCTACGGGGGCAGGCCTCCAAAAAAGAACAAGAAGGTGAAACAAAATGCCTTGTGCAAGGTAGTCCAAGAGAATTGGGACAAGATTCCAGAAGGGCTTCGAACCCAGTTTGAAGCTTTGGGAGTGCCTCCGGCTGAGCCACCACCTCCTCCGGATTTGCCCTCCCTCATCAAGGAGCATTTGCAGAGCTTGCCACAAGATTTGAAGGCTGCAGTTGAAAAGATTGTGGAACCAGTGAAGCCAGAACCCACTTTGACGACAAAGCTCAAGCAATCAGTCGGCACGTTGCGCCAGCTGTCAGATCGGAAATCAGCCATACAGGCCAAAGCAGATGCAGTGAAGGCTCAATACACCTCACTACTGCAAGAGCTCAAGGAAGTGCAGAGCAAGATCGAGGCAGCGCAAAAAGAGCTTCAGCAGTCGACTGAGCTATACAACCAGCAGCTGGAGAAAAGCAAGCTAGTGACGATAGCAATGTTGATCCGGAAGAGCTCACTCCGGAAAACATCATGACCATCATGGCCACCGTGGGTGTAAATGCCACCCAGCAGCAGATCCAGGACTTTGCCAAAAAGCTTGGTGAAAATGTCACGAAGCGACGGAAGTGTGGGTAACAGCATGACGAGCACAGAACAGATTGGGGAATGTAAGCAGTCTCTTTGCAAACATCAAGGGGTATTTGATGCAAGCATGGAGCCTGTGCCAGCAGTTTTTGGCTCAGACCGTCTTCAAGGACAATCAGAGGCGGCCGAGCTTGGGGTTTCATCCACTGCAAATGGTGTGATGATGGGGGGATCGCGACCAGCGGTTCCAGCATTTTGTGGAGGTGCTGGTGACCATGTCGGTGATGACATGGCAACAACGCCAGATTTTGAAGCCGATGACGAATCCCAGACGACTGATTCCCTGCAAGGACAGAGTGCTTTAGACTTTGTGCTACAGAACCTTCAGTGCAAACTGGGAAATCCTAAAAACAGGTGCTATGCAAATGCACCTTTCCGTCTATGGATGTGGACAGGAAGTTTTCTTTCAGGTCCAGAGATGTGGCATTGTACAGCAAAAGAAGTGCAGGCAACCTTTCAAGCTGACGAAGTGGTCAACCTCACCGAGCTGACCGCTCTCCGCAGTTTGTGGCAGAAATTTGATGACGCAGTTCAAGATGATGCATCTCATTTTCTTGCTGAGATGGTAGAGCTTGCCAAGCCTGATCATGTGATCACTCATCATTTTCACGTCGATCACAGGCAGACAGTACACAGAAGGAAAAAAATCCCTACTCATCTGATTTTCGAAAATCAGAACCGCCCACAAGAGTTTGAAGAGCTCATCTCATCAACCAGTGGGCAAACACAGCAGAAGGGCAGGTGTTTGATGGCACCGGGCTTTGGGTGGCCCAAATTGGTCGATACACCTTCACTGATGGAGAATGGACGAAGCACCACCAGATCCTCACTGTTCCTTCAGTTTTCAACTTGCCGGTCACACATGATGGCAATGAGACGAAGACTGAACAATTTTCAGTGGTTGCATATCTCTGTCATTCGGGAACTGCGCACAAAAGTGGTCATTTTTACGCTGTTTTCTGCTACAGAGGATTCCTTTGGTTGGTTGATGATGGATCTTATCCAAGGCCGATTCAGTATATGCAAGATACCATGAGAACTCAGATTGTTCAAGTGTGGGCTGTCCCTTCAAAGAACATTCTGCCCGCTGACATCCCAAGTGACATCATGATGACGCGACCACCGTCAGACACGCAGCAGCAAAGCAAGAGAAGATGCCTTGCAGGCACTGGTTTCTCATTTGCCAATGTCACACAGCTTGGACAGCAGGTTCGACAATGGCTCCTAGGCAGAGACCGGAAGCCCACTTTCCTAGTGGAAACTCATCTGAGCCCAGATGACCATGACAAAACAATGCAATGGTTTGCAACACGAGGTTTTGGAGTTCTGGGCCACGCAGCTGCGATTAGTCCCAAGGGTGGCACGCATGGAGGAATGATTCTTTTGTATCCTTCACATTTGCACATCCACTATGTCCAGAAACAGCTGATTGATGGATGCGGGTGGTATGCTGTGCATTGGTCTTTTGACAATTTTGCCCTGGTCATTGCGATGACTTATTTCAAATGTGGAGAAGGCATTCAAGGACAAACCAACACGCTGCTGTGGTCAGGGCTCCTGGCCTTTGTCACTGGCCTTGCAAAGCCGGTGATAGTTGTTGGGGATTTCAACACCACCCCAGAAGAGTTCATGGCTACAACGATGAGCTCAGTGATGCAGGTCAGCATGCTTGCAACTGGAGAAGACACCTGCCTAACTGGAAGAGAACTGGATTGGGCATTGGTCTCCAACAATCTGATAGCAGACACTTCGATCTCTGCAGATTGGATTGTCCCTTTCAAGCCGCATGCACAGCTGCATATCAATCTGGCAAAAGAGCTGCAGAGCATTACAGTGCAACAGATCCAGCGCTTTCAGCCTGCACCAAAACTACAACGGATCCAAACAGAATGGACGCAAGTTCAACCTGCAGATGTGGAAGTGAACTGGCTGGACTTGAGCACCAACACCCTCAGCCAAAAAGCAGGACAGTTGTACAGCAAGATTGAGCGCTATGTCTTGCAAGATCTGGACAAACCCACGCTTGGCCGAGGCACAAACCTCCAGTATGCGCAGAAGCCTTTGGTTGATCCGAGCAAACCATGGCTCTGGCGGAAGGGACTCTTGGCTTTCTGGTCACAGATTGAACGCAGGCTACAACAACATCTGCACAGGCAAAACAAGGCTGAAGCTGATATGCACCATTTGGAGAAATTGGGTTGGCATGTCCCACAACATTGGCATCCGGATGACACGGTCACCTTGGAAGGCTTTCTGTTGCTTTACAATATGTTGTGGGGAGAGCATGACAATGATCACATCAGAGTCCTGCTGAAATTTGTCAAATCCCAGTGGGCGCTGCATCAAGACACGGTTTTCCAGACAGAAACACAAGAGTACAGAAACTGGATGAATGCAGCAAGTCAAAAAGGGTGTCGAGGTTTGTACAGAACGCTCAAAAAGGATGAGATGCCTTATGCCAGACCCTTTCAACAACATCCCAGAGCTGAAAGGATGGAGCAGCGCATCCAACAGTGGAGCAGCATCTGGCAACAAAAAGACCAACCAAGTGAACCTAGAACTTTGCAAGCTTTGGTTCACAAAGGACAAGAACAAGCCACAGAGTTGCAACCTCTGCATGCACACCAAGTCTGGCAAGTGATCAAGCGTTTGAGTCACAAAGCTCCAGGACTTGACGGCGTAGGCTATGACTATCTCAAAGAGCTCCCCTTTCAGGCCACGCCGGACATAGTGGCTTTCTTTCATGAAGTTGAAGCGCAAGCCACAGTGCCAAATCAATGGACAACATCGTTGATAGCTTTGCTACCCAAAAACTCAGAGATCGAACATCCAATTGCTTTGGTAGCCTCTCTGTACAGGCTGTGGTGTAAAGTCCGAGCACCCTACACCCAACAGTGGCAGCACAGCATCAAGGATGTCTACATCTGGGAGCGGGCAGTGCCTGGCACTGAATGCCTGACGGTGGCCTTGAAAAGAGCCTTCATGACAGAGCATCACAAAGCTTTGCAGCGAACGGTCATTTCAGTTCTCCTGGACATGTCAAACTTCTATGACCGTATTGACCTTGAGAAGCTGACTGAGAGATGGTTGGATTCTGACTACCCAGCAACACATGCTGCTTTGGCCATGCAAATTTACTGCGGTTCCAGAATTCTTGAAGCAGAAGGAGAGGCATCCAGACCCATCTGGACTGCCAATGGAATTCTTGCTGGAGACCCACAGGCCCCATTAGCTGCCAAAGTGTATTTGCAAAAAGCATTACATGCCTTCAGCAAGAGATATCCGCAGCTTCATGTCGACCTCTGGATCGATGACCTGAGTTTCGATGTTGTTGACAGGGACCCGGCCAATGCTGTCAGGATTGCCATTGCGGCCTTCAACTACATCCGGCAGTTGCTGGAAGAAGACAATCTCCGCATTTCAGAGAAGAAGACTGGCTTCATAGTTTCAAACAGCACTGCAAAGAAGCTCTTGGCAGAACAGCTTCCCAAGCACGGCCCGAAGGTGCACGACGTGATGCGTGACCTAGGTGTTGACTGCACCAGAGGCCGACTCAGAAGGATCCGCGCCATGCAAGCTCGTCGACAAAAAGCAAACAGGAAGACCAAGAAGCTACAGTTGCTCAAGATACCACAAAGGGCAATACGCCTGCGTTTGTACAAGGGCAGCGTCCTCTCGTCCATTAGCTGGGGACACGAAGCGATGGGACTAGCTCCTCAACATCGTGCACGGCTCAAAGCAGCAATGGGCCGTCAGCTTGGACATCAGAGAACAGGAAACCTTGACATTGTTTTCGACATGAAAGGGAAACATCAAGACCCGGACGCTGCGGCCTTCCATGATCAGGTAAATTTTTTTTTTCGGCATTTTGCTGGACAATGGCCTGAGGCTTTGAAGAAAGATTTAGAACGAGCATGGGCACCTCACCAAGAGAGACTTGCCATGGCTGCTCATCCCTGGCAAGTAGCCAAAGGACCTGTAGCTGCTTTGCAATGCTACCTCAAAGACCATGGCTGGCAAGCTGAGAGTTGTCACTACTGGACCAAGCTTGCGCCCAATAATGAACCAGAATTCCAGATCAGCATGAGTGACTCATGGCTCACCATCAAAGCTGAACTCAAGCGAGCCGAGAAAAGTGACCGGCTACAACGCATCAGCTCCAGATCCATGCTTCAAGAAGTACAGAGGCCTTTGGACTGGAAACCATGGGAGCGAATGCAGCGCACTTTGAACACCCAAAATGCCACTGCGTTACAAACATGGCATCAGGGCACCATCTTCACCAAGATGAGTGATGCGCAAGAAGGCCAGCACCTCATGTGCCCGCACTGTGGCCAGCCGGCCACAGCAGTGCACATGCTGTGGCTATGTAAGGAGACACAGAAGAAGTTCCCAGCCCTCAACAACGAGGACAAGTTCGAATTGGAGCATGGCTTGAATCTTGAGTTCTGGTCGCAAGGCCTTTTGATGAAGCCAGCTGTCCCCATTGCCACTGGTGGTGCATCAGTACAAGCATGGGGAACCTGGACAACACAAGATGAAGCCCGCATCCAACTACCGGATGTTGTCAGCATAGGCATTGCAAGCACTTCAACCGACTGTCGGTTGAAACACTATGCAGTGGCCATCGTGCACCACACCCAAATTGGTGGCCAATTGTTTCGTCAAGGGGCTGTTGTGGCTATATTCCCGGGGGCCCAATCCTGGGAAAGAGCCTGGTACTATGGCATCCGCATGGTGGCTCACTATGTGGACTTGCACCAGCGCATCATCCTGCATGTGCAAAGCACACGAGCCTGGGAAGCATGGCAGCACAACCGCCATGCTGAGGTTTTTCACGATCTTCGTGAACCATCACATTGGATCAAAAGAGCCGCATCAAAGTGCTGTGCATCACCTCCAAGCAGCTCAAGGACATGCCAAAACCTGAATGGTCTTTGAGGCACAGACAAGAAGATGCCTGCAAAACAGCTCGAGAAATTGCTCTAGGGCTTCAACCCACCAGCCAAGAAGAAGAACTAGTGCAGCAAGATGAGAAGTACAAGCGTATTGCACCACAGGCAATTCAGCGAGTTCGCTATCTCCTTGAGGAAAAGCAGCATTTTCTGCACGCAGCCAGAGAATCTGGCAAGCTCAAGCGAGAAGAAGCCAGAGAGAAGAAAAAAGAGGCCTACAGAAAGCTCTCCGTTCCCACTCATCCCAACCAACATGTTTGGGAGCCCAAGGGAAGAGGCCTAAAGTGCAAACACTGCAAAGCAGGAGTGACCATGCACTGCAAGAAGCAGCAACAGAGATCTGCCCAAAAGCAGCTGACCCAGGGGTAATCGGAGGCCACTCAGGCAGCTCTGACAAAGCCACCCTCATAGAGCAGATGCTAAACGGAGCGTGTGCCGGCGTGTCAGATCACTCTTTCAGCCTGCAAAAGCACTACATCGTTTGTGGACGCTGCAACCAAAGGCTCCTCAGAAATTCTGCAAAGGAAAAGCTGCAAGATCTCACCACGGCGCCATGTTGGGATAGTGAATGGCCAATCCCTGCTGGTTGGGCAGGACGCGCCACACACCGAATGTGGAGGAAAGGTGGAAAAATTTTCTGCCAGAGCTGCAAAGCACATGTCATGCAGAAGGATGGGCGGCCGCAAGCAAGCAAGCGCCTGACAAAGGCATGCGCAAAAGGTCACACGACCCAGCTGCCCTTGTGCTTTAGGCCAAAAGATGCCTAGGCGCTGAAGCGGACGGAAAAGAAACGCAGAAAAAATATTCACAACCCACCGATAACGCATTCTTGTTTGGTCCAGAAGCTGCGATTAGGAATGGCTGCCTTGCGGACTGGTGCAGAGTTGGTCTATGTGTTCACAGCCAAGGAGGCCGCGATGCCGATCAAGTCCTACAGCCCAGAACTCATGGTGATGCCGGTGTATTCGATGGAAGACAGAGGGCACGCTTCCTGCATTTTAGGCAGTCTGTGTGCTTTTGGTTTTCTTTGGTGTGAGAGAAGAACTTCGTTGAACCCAGGAAACCAAATCACGTGCTGGAAGATGAGATTGTGCCTGGTAGAAAGAAAGATCATATCGGGCCTGGCGAGCTGCGCCACTGCTATAGTTCATGACAACCATCAGCCAAACAAATCTTTGCTCGCGTTGCTATGCCCGCTTGGCCCCTTTTAGCCTCTAGGTCACGCATGTGCAGCCGATGCTTGGTCGCTTGCATGCACTGGTGGTTGGTTGCGGCCTTGGCAGACATCAGCCAGTGCTTGAAGCAGCAAAGCAGCTCTGCGCCAGAGCAGCTGCAGAAGGTGCTGCTGCACTGCAACGAATTGAAGCGACAGTTGTATAGTCACAACTTTGGGGGGTTCTGACCTCATTGGGGATCGGCCCCTTTTTTCTTGTTCTGGAATAGTTCAAGGCAGCGTGGATTTACTTTGGTTTCCTCGGCATCCACTTGCGTCTCAATCTTCCAGGCTTGCCCGTCGTCCTGGACGCGGATGGGCTCCAAGTGGCCATCCAATGGCCACCTGCCATCCAGCCTGTTTGACTGGCTGGACCAGTTGGTGATTTGATGATCCCCCATAATTGGAACGGTGTCGTTGGCGGCCTGAAGCATTTGGTTTGATGACCAGTTTGAGGCCAAAAGCCTTGGAGGGGATGAGCCGCACTTTGCTGACACCCAATGCCTATGAATTTCGGCAACTTTGCCAGGCAGTAGGCCTTGAAGGCAGAAGCAGTATGCAGCTGAAAAGAAAGACGTTCGAAAGGGTCTATTGCATTGACCACAAACAGTCGAAAAAAGAGAGACGGAGGGAGAGTACCTTTTCGTTCTTTTTGCTTGCAATCCTTGCAGAGCATCAGCTTGCAGGCGACGGAAAAAGCCAGCTGGTCAAGCTTTGCCCTTCGGCTGGAACCTGTGCTCGAGTGTGCTGCAGCCAAGATGCCCAAGATCAATTGCTGGGGACAAACTTGTGATTTTCGGCCTTTGATAGTTCCAATGAAGGGCTTTGGAAATGGCAGGTGAGAAGCTTGATGGGCCAGCTGTGCTGTTGAAGGGTGAAGAGGACGGGCGAGGCGCTTTGAGAGGGTGAGACGCTTTAGGACTGATACCAGTGAAGCCAGGACCTGGTGGCTGATGCCTCTGGACGTGTCGAGTGCTGTTCAGTGGAGGGCACGCCACGCCGCAGTGGAGGTGAGGATGACGATCAAGACTGCTAGGCTAGAGTCATCTGGATTCTAGATGCTGATCTTCCAAGGTGAGGCTGCATGGCCAATCATGATATACGTGACACATCGTGTGACCTCCAGCTGTCAAGGCTATGGTGATGTGCTGGCAGGGACACTGGGGACGTTACTGGCATGGTCCAAGAACCGAGTGCAAGGCCAGTTTCAGCTGGAGGGGTGCGATCGAAACAAGGTCCTGTGCCAGGAAAAGGCAAGTCTGTAATGTTGGATGTTGATTTGTAAACCGGTCTTGAATAATGCTATATATTTTCCATAATTATTCCAGACCCCATGTTTGAAAAAGTGGTCATGAATAATTTAATGCTAATTCTCCAAACAGTTTACTGTTAGGGGTTCTCAATTCTTTCTTAAGATGTGTCCGCCCTTTGTGTCACTGCTGGTGTCTGCCCTTTTCCGATGGCCATGTAGCATTTCTATTCATTCTTCTCCCAGGTCTGTCACTGCTCGTGTCCGCCCTTTTCCGCTGGCCATGTAGCATTTCTATTCATGGTCTGTCACTGCTGGTGTCCGCCCTTTTCCGTTGGCCATGTAGCATTTCTATGCATTTGTCTCCCAGGTCTGTCGCTGCTAGTGTCGGCTGTGACTGGTGGTGTCCGCCCTTTTCCGTTGGCCATGTAGCATTTCTGTTTATTTGTCTCCGAGGTCTGTCACTGCTGGTGTCCGCCCTTTTCCGCTGGCGATGCAACATTTCTATTCATTCCCCAAACAGTTTGCCGTTACGTAGGGTTTCTCAATTCTTTTTAAAGATGTGTCTGCCCTTTCTGTCACTGCTGGTGTCCGCCCATTTCCGCTGGCCATGGAGCATTTCAATTCGTTTGTCTTTAAAGTGATTTCTTTACTTTTGTCTCCCAGTTTCGGTGCCTGCGCTGCTGGTGTCCGCCCTTTTCCGCTGGCCATGCAGCATTTCTATTCATTTGTTTCCCATGTGGTTTCTGTACCTCCCCAAACAGGTTACTGTTACCGGTTCTAAATGCTTTCTAAGAGTGTCCACCTCGCTGTCCGGCTTATCTCTCTTGGTCTCCCTTCTTGTTGGTCACTGTGTCCGCCTTGTCTCC